TTATTTTCCTATTTGATGTGAAGTGTGTGATTTATATCTTTGCCCATTTTTCTATTTAGTTGTCATTTTTCTGTTTAGGATTTTTTTAAATTCTAGAGAAATGAGCTTGTGTGTGTGTGTGTATAATACTAAGGCTTAAACCAAGACCTTTCCACTGAGCTATGTCCCCAGCCTTCTTTTCGTTTTTATATTGAGACAGGCTGTCACTAAGTTGTGTACCTAGGTTGGGCTCAAATTTGCTATCTTCTTACCTCAGCCTCCCAGTGTGCGGAGATCAACAAGTGTTGACCACCATGCGCAGCTAGCAAAATTAGCCTTTTGTTTCTGAGTTTTAAATATCTGTCTTGTCACTTGAATCATAGCATTTTTACTTCGACTTTGTTCCTACTCATGGTTAATAGGTGCCAGAAATTTTTGGAAGTTCCTTCACCATACCCTATTAAAAGCTCTGGTCAGTTACAGAACAATATACTGATAGTGAATGAGTTGCTTGTTAATTTCTGAGTTAAAATTAAATTGCTGGGCATAGTGGTGCATGCCTGTAATCCCAGTACTTAGGAGAGTGAGGCAGAAAAATAGCTGTGAGTTCAAGGCCATTCTGGGCTACAAAGTGAGTTCAAAGCCAGCCTAAACTGTACAGTGAGATACTGTCTTAAGAAAGACAAAAAAAAATCAAAATGAAACAAAACAAAATTAAATAGTGTTAGGACTAGAATATGCTCTCAGGTAGCTGTTTGATTTTTTTTTAGATGAGACTTAAATAACAGAAGCCACACCACCTGGGTCACACAGTAGGTAAACCGCAGGGCTGGAACCAGGGCCCTTCTCTGGCTTATATTCTGAGCGGAAGGTCACTGTGTAACACACATTAGGGAAGTTCTGAGCTCCTGACAGCATTTCGAAGTGAAAGCTGGTGTTAGAAGTTATGGGACCTTCTGTTGCTGTTATTTCCTTCCCCTCTGACCTCCTCTAAATGCCTTCTAAATGCTGACAGTGTACTCGAAGGTGGAAAACAAGTGCCCTGTCACACTGACCTTTGCTGTGGTTGGCGCTCACTGGGCCCTAGGCCTGGAGGGGCAGGAGACGGACTTGTGGGAACTCTACAAGGGATGGTGCTGCCTGCCCTGCTTGACTCAGACCTAGATGAAGCCAAGCTGAGCTTGTTCTGTATAGCGTGAAGATTTTCTGCCAGGCCTCCTAAGTTTTTTCAACTATAGTATTATAGACAGCTAAGCTAGGCAGAAATATTGTAGGCAGCAGTCAGTAGGGCTAGGTCTTTGAGAGAGCCAGGACAGAAATGAAAGGCATCTCAGCTGTGGCTGGAGACACATCTGTTGGAGACAAGGCCTCAAGATAAAGATGAGATGACCAGGCTTGTATATTTCTTTGAAAGACAAACAACAGGCCTATTGAAGCCTGGATGCACATCAATCACCCCGGTGGGTGACCAAGACCCCTGGACCCATAATTTCCTAGAAAACGTTCTTTCCATGCACCCTTGTTATGTGACTTGTTTCCCCATTGGGTCACTATTACCCAAGCAACTATACTTTTGTTCTTATTGGTTAAGCATAGCTGTGATCTACACCATACCCATGTGAGTATTGCTCTATAAAATTTCCCCATAAAATGGGGTCCTGGGGCAACCCATTTGGGTCTCCTCCTGCCTCCCAGGAGCTAGCTGTCTTTCAATAAATATCTTCCTACTTTTTATGTCCACTGTTCCTACATTTCATTCTTTGATTTTTGGAGAACATGAACTCAGCATATCAGAGATCTAACAGGTAAGTAATTATAATATTTGCCTTATATTATATTTGGAGGTTCTTATATCACCCCTGTAATGATAGTATTTACCAATATTTTGGGCATTACTTTAAAAATGCTAAGCTGACCATTGCTTGCTTGTTATATAAATTTTCCTTTTACTTTTACACATCCTATGTTAGCTTCCTGTCAGTACAATGAAATACTTGAGATAATTAACTTATAAAAAGTTTGAGCTGGGGGCTGGGGATTTAGCTCAGCGGCATAAAGCACCTGCCTTGCAAGCAGGCGGTTGTGAGTTCCATCCTCAGTACCCATAAAAAGTTTAAAAAAAAAAAAGTTTGAGCTGGACATGGCTGAGTAGCAGAGGCCCTGGGTTTGATTCCTAACACTGCAAAAACCAAAAAGAACAATAACTAAAAAGAGTAAGGTTTTGGTTCATGGTTTTGTAGGTTCCATTCTTTTTTTCTTTTCTTTTCTTTTCTTTCTTTTTTTTGACACCAGGGATCAAGCTCATGATCGTGCACCTTCAAGGCAGGCACTTATGCCACTGAGCTAAATCCCCGCCCTGTAGGTTCTATTCTAGGTCCCATTGCTTTGGGACTCAGGCAAGAGTAGCACATTATGGCAGGGGCTTGTGGGAGACCAAAGGTGGCTTATATCATAAAGAAGCAAGAGAAAGAAGCAGGGAGAGACTAGGTGCCCCAATCTCTTTGAGGACACAGTGACCTAAAGACTTCCCACTAGGCCCTTTTGTCTCCTAGTAGTTTCCTGACCACACAGCAGTAGCACCCTGCTGGCTGAGCTTCTAACATATGAGCCTAGAGGGACATTTACTCAAACCATAGCACATGCATTAAAAATTTTTTTTCTTTAGATGTGAAATCCTATTTTTATTTTTAAAATCTTTTTATTTTATTGGTACATTTTAGATATCCATAAGGATAATATTCATCATAGGGAATTTGTATCTGTGCATGGTATATTTTGCTACTGCTTTTTTCCCATTCCCTCCTTTCAACCCCACTTCCCCTCTTTATTTGCAAAAGCTTTTTGTTTCCATTTTTTCCTTCTTCCCTCTTTTTCCTTTCCCTTCTTTCTCCCTCCCTCTCCTTTGTTCCCGTTCTCATTTAACCTTTTCTTCCCATTTCCCAAAATCCATTATACATTTTGGTCCTTATTTATACTTTTGGTTTCTTATACCAGAGAAAACATGGTATTTGAGCGTGTGTGTTGTCTGATTTATTTCGCTTAACAATGTGGTTTCAAGGTGCATCTAGTTAGCTAGAAACACCTGAAGCTTATCCTTCTTTACTTCAGGGTAGTACTCTGTTGTATAAAAAGCCACATCTTTATATGTTCATTGGTTGAGAGTCATTTGGGTTGTTTCCAAGAGTTGGTTGACAATATAATATTTTAAGAGACATTTTTAAGTAGCATTTAAAATGAGCTATAGGGCTGGGGATATAGCTCAGCTGCACAATGCCAACCTGGCAAGCAAGAGGCCATGAGTTCAATTCCCTACTACCAAAATAAAAAAATAAAATGAGCCATAGCCAGATACAACCCAATACCTGTGACACCAGCATTGGGGAAGCCAAGGGAAGAAGAACAACAAAGTGAGACCCCATTTCTAAATGAATGAACGAATCAGTGAATGAATGACTGCCAAACCATCAAATACACATAACTAGCTGTGCCTTTAATGAGTTGCTTGTTAATTTCTGCCTGTTAATTACACAGGCACAAATCCCAGCACTCTAGGATATTGAGGCAGGAAGAGTTTCAAGTTCAAGCTTGTCCTGGGAAACTTAGTGACTTAGCAAGACCCTGTCTCAAAATTAAATGCCTGGGGATATAGTTCAATGAGAAGGCCGTGGTTTCAATCAAACAAAACAAACAAGTATCTGAACCAGGTATGGTGGCTCGCATTGGTAATCCCAGCACTCGAGAAGCTGAGGCAGGAGGATCACTTCAAATTCAAGGCCAGTGAATTCAAAGCCAACCTGAACTACATAGCAAATAAAACCCCCAAAAACCAAACAAAAACTGAACTGAAGTGAATGACATCAGTAATTTAGACTAAATTTAGGCAGAAATAGGTATGCGGAAACAGCTTTGTTAAAAATTAATACGAATATAAATTTAGTCAGATATGGTGGCACACGCCTCTGATTCCAGCACTCAAGAAAGAGGCTGAGGCAGTGTGACTATCTCAATCATTTGGCCGACAATAATTCTAAGATTTCAGAGATGTTATTGTATGTAGATGCATGTTAAAATTACTGCAATGGGGGGGCGGCTGGGGATTTAGCTCAGCGGCATAAGCACCTGCCTTGCAAGCAGGCAGTCATGAGTTCTATCCCCAGTACCGATTAAAAAAAAATGATAAAAAAATTACTGCAGTGGGGCTGGTGATTTAGCTCAGCGGCATAAGTGCCTGCCTTGCAAGCACACGGGTCATGAGTTTGATCCCGGGTACCAATAAAAAAAAAAAATTCTACATAAAATTACTGCAATGTTGTATTTGCTTGACTGATTTCAAAGCATTTTCATATATGTGATGTCATTCATTTTCCCAACTGTAATAGACTGTAAGTCATTTTCGAATAAGGAAACTGAATCTTAAAGAAGTTAAGTGACTTGTCAGACATCACAGTTAATAAGTCACAAAAACTGAGTCTTAAACCCCACACTTTGTGCTCCGCCCACTTTTTTCCACATTTAACCTCAACCTCTGAATTTTTCTGTTGTATCAAGGCCGACGCCTGGACTAGCCCCACAAAGGAAGGGCTGCTCTGGTTTTCTGCTGCTTCTGGTAAAGACAAATGCTGGCAGAAATAGGTATGCAGAAACAGCTTTATTAAAAATTTAAAGAGGGGCTGGGGATTTAGCTCAATGGCATAAGTGCCTGCCTTGCAAGTGTGTGGTCGTGAGTTCGATCCCTGGTACCAATAAAAATGAAAAAGACAAAAAAATTAAAAGAATATGAATATAAATTTAGCCAGGTGTGGTGGCACATGCCTGTGATTCCAGCACTCAAGAGGCTGAGGCAGGAGGATCCACAAGTTCGAGGCCAGCCTGAGCTACAAAGTGAATTCGAGGCCTGCCTGAAATACATAGCAAGACACTGTTAAAAAACAAACAAACAAACAAACAAACAAAAAAAAATATATATATATATATATATGTTTAATTTGAGAACTTTCCCCTTCCCTTCCTCTCCTGTAAAGGTACCAGAAAGCAGCTGAAGAGGCAAACATGGAGAAGAAGAAAAGCGTAAGTACTCAGAAGCCGACAGGCACGTGTAACTCTGAGCTGAGCTGTGTGGTGGAGGCGCCTGCAGCTCTGTGGACCGCTTTGTCAGTTGGTCTGGTTTGTGAGCCATTTGCCCAGAAGAATTTGGCTCAGGTACAAGGAACCTTATGTTTTCACTGAGGGTCTCACCATGTTTTCTGTCCCGTGCTGAGTGAAGGCTGTAAGGCCAAATGCTTCACTTGAGGTTAGTTAATAGTTAAGATGGCTCACCATTTCTGCTACATGACGACAGGGTTTCCTAGGCCACCCTTTTTTTCCATATCAAACAACCAGAATTTTTCTATTGATGTATTTAAACGGTAGTAGTTATACAGCTACCTATTGTCATCTTCTGGCTCTCTGTTTAAAGCATACTTCTGGACTCAACCTAGTTAGCAAGTTTCTTAGCTGCAGGATTCATCGAAGCCAAAACCCTCCAGAATGAGCTCCCTGCCAGTCCTCATTCTCCACCTTCCCCATTTGCTAGCTCCCAGATGGACTGGCTGATGTATTTGTTTTGAAATCTTGCTTGATTTAATCTTCCTTGAGACGGGTCTAGTATGTTGCCCAGGCTGGTTTTAAATTTACAGACTTATGGGGTCCCCCTGCCTTGGCTTCCCTGTAACGACACCCCAGCACCCTCACTTTTTATTACAAAGACAAAAAACCTCACGTTTTAGCAAGAAGTCTTTAATTTGACTGGCATTACAAAAACATCCTGCTGGAAGTTTCCAGTACCTAATCTATTTAAACTAGTGCATAATATGCTCTTGTTAGTCTGTTCTAAGGGAGTAATACCTGCTTTGACTTAATTTCCTTGTAATTTGAAAATGGATCTTCGTCATACAAAGAAGGATACCATTTCACTCAGCGTCTTGCTTCTGCCCTTCTCATTCCTGCCTGATTTTCCCCTTCTTTTTCTTTCACTCTTTTATTTGGTAAGTTTTCACAGAGCACCTAATCCCTACCAAGCACTGTTCTAAACACTAAGAATATGGGCTGCATCTCCTTCCTCATGGAGTTTACACTCTAGTGGGAAGCACAGACAGCAAAGAAATTGTGTCAGGCAGGGAATGGGCTAGTGCTGTGGAGCAGGTCATTCAGGTGTAGGCCTCTGCCGCAGTGATGAGTGAGCAGAGATTTGAAGTCATGAGCCAGAGCGAAGGAGGATTCGGGCAAAGGCAAAAGCAGTTCTTTTGAGCAGTGTTTGAGGTGTAGAAAGAAAAGAGGCATAGGGTCATTGAAAAGACCTTGGTTTTAACTCAAGGGAAGGAGGCTTTCAGGAGAATTGGGTACAAATGACTGATGTGATCTGATTTAAATTTTTAAAAGATCGAAGACCAGGGGCTGGGGATTTAGCTCAGCAGCATGAGCGCCTGCCTTGCAAGCAGGCAGTCGTGAGTTCGATCCCTGGTACCGATAAAAAGGAAAAAGACAAAAAAAAAAAAAAAAAATCAAAGACCATAGAGGAAGATGGCAGAAGCATAGAGACCAAAAAAGAAGCTGTTGTTATGATTTAGAAAAGAAATGGTAATGCATTGGGTTGGAGTAGTTGTAGCACAGGTGAGAAATGGTCAGCATTTATATAGAAGGAAGAGAGAAGACTCGAGGACAGCAATAATGTTTTTGGCTCAAGTGCCACTAAGTTAAATTATAATGCCATTAATTGAGATAAGGAAGACTATAGTAAAAGCAGATTTGGAGTAGCGAAATTAATAGAAGCTCAGTTTTAAACATGTTAAATTTGAAGTACTTCGTAAAGACATCCAAGTAGAAATGGCAAGAATCAATTTAGCTGTAACAGTCTTGAATTAAGAAGAGATCTGGGCTGGATCTAAAAATGGATGTGTGTCACAGTATCAGTGGTATTTACATGAGATGCATGAAATAATTTCAAAAATGACTATAGATAGAGCAGTCTCAGACTGAACTCAGAGATTGGCAAGATAAGGAAGAATCAGCAGAGGAAATAGGGGACAGCTAGTCAAAGAGCAGTAGACACAGAAGCAGAGGGGACCAGAAGTCAAGGGAAGCAAACCTTTCTAGGAGGAGAGTTGACAGAGTCAAACATAGCTAACCTGAGAATTGACGGTCATATGTGGCAACTGAAAGGTGAATGAATGGTCACTATGAATGGCTTTGGAATGGTGGGATAAAGCCCTGATCAAGTTAGGTTCAAGACCGAGTGGGATGAGTACAGACAAACATCAGTGGAGCATTTCTTACGTACCAGATGCTGAAGACACAGAGGTATGAGATATATTTCATGCCTTCAAGGGACTGTTTAGGTCTGAGAGTTTGAAAAAAAAAATTTACAATCCAAATGTGGTAGGTTTCATATCAAAGAAATAAGGTTCTAGGGGAGAATTTAAGAGAGACCCATAACCTGGACTATGCTACATCAAGGCAGGTTTCCCAGAAGTGAGGTCTAACCAGAGTCTGAAGGGCCAATGGGAATTAGCCAAGCAAGAGGGCAAGAAATGGCAGAGGGCTTAAAATATCTGTGGAAACCCAGTGTGGAGGCCTGTGCCAGTAATCCCAGCACTCTGGAGGCTGAGGCAGGAGTTTCACTGCGAGGTCAAGGATAAGCTGGGCTACATAGTGGATCAATTCTCACCTGGACTGCAAAGGGAAACTGTCTCAAACAAACAAGATGTTTAGGGGATGTCTAGGTAGAATTGGTAGATAAGGAGAGAGATCTTGTTAAAGTTATAGGTCATAATTCACCAACTAGTTTGTGGGTGAAACCAGGTAGTGAATAGCTACGGAAAACATGTACATAGAGGACCGAAGAGCAAACTTTGAGGAACAGAATAAAAAACTAAACAAACTGAGGGATGGACAGAGAAAGTGAGAGAAATCTAGGAAAAAGGAATGTGACAGAAAACTTGGAGAAATTTTGAAAAGGAGAAGTGGTCAGTAATGGCAAGCACTCCTACGGCTACTATTTCTTTTTTTCTTTTTTTGGTCTTTTTCCTTTTTATTGGTACCAGGGATCGAACTCACGACTGCCTGCTTGCAAGGCAGGCGCTTATGCCGCTGAGCTAAATCCCAGCCCCGGCTACTACTTCTTCCAGACTCTCTCAGCGGAGTAATTTCTTCCCTTCCTTGGAGGCTGCATTCAGGCAGCCCTTGTGTATATCTTGCCCGACAACTTCTTGGAAAGTGAAAATGTGCAGCCTGTGATTTCAGCATGATAGTTCCTTTAAGGCAAAGGATTTATCTAATATCATATGTCCACGTGACAGACTTCTGACTTAGGCCAATTTTAAGTCAGATGCTTTGCAGAAAGGACACTGTGGTGAGATCAAGATTTAGAAAGCTGGTTTTTAATAGGCAGCATCTGCCAGTATTCTCAGGATTGCTGGTGATAGAGTTATTTCCAAAAGATGAAAAATATTAACAAAAGATGAGAAATATAAAATAAAAAGAGGCCTTTATTCTGAGAACACGGAGAGAGATGACCGGCACCCCACCGCTGGCGTCCGGAGATCTCTCCGGCGGACACGTGGCGTGGGGGCCTGTAAATAGCCTCGGTTTGGGGTGGAACCCAAGGCGGGCACTAGGGATACACAGGTAGCCCATTGGTCCTAGGTTTGGCGCCATATGTAAATTCCCAGGGGCGGGAAGATGGCGTCACAGGTAACTTCCTAGGGGCAGGGCAAGACGGGGCTTCCGGTTGTGGCTTTCCCGGCTACAGTGTCCTGTCCGGGCCAAAACCCTTCAGCTGGGTAGAATGAATAGGTCCTGGATATCACTTGGAAGAAGGAGGCTATCATAGTGTAGCAACCCAATGTGACCCTTAAACCTTCAACCTTCTTGACACCCAGTGCCTTATTTTAAGAAAATACTTAGGAAAAAGTTAAAACATTGATGCACACAACATCAACTAGAATTTTACATTGTATCCTACACCTCTACCATATGCAGCAAGTAGAAAAAACAATAGGATACTGTAACCCAAATTCAGGTTGTGGGGAATGGCTAGGCTCTGTGATTGACTGTGGTTGGTCACGTTGTGAGGAATAGCTGAAGGAATAGGGAGGGCCACTCCTTTAATAATAATTATGAGGGTCAAGGATACAGCTTGGCAGCACAGCACCTGTAGCAAACACAGGGTCCTGAGTTCAATTCTTGGACCCCCCCAAAAATTGTTACCATACACAGGATGCCGATTTATTCAAATATTATACTACATATTTTTTGTTTTGTTGTTTTTTCTGTCTTTTTCGTTTTTATCGGTACCAGGGATCGAACTCACAACTGCCTGCTTACAAGGCAGGCCTTTATGCCGCTGAGCTAAATCCCCAGCACCTATACTACATGTTTTAATAGTCTCATGTACTCCTCACAATAGCCCTGTATAATAATTTCCAGAAAAGCAACAAAAAACACTTAGCCAAGGTCCCATGGCAGGATGGAGGTAGATTATGCAAGCAATGAATGTTCACTTCAGATAATACAAAGATGGAGAAGAAAACGTAAGTGATCTGAAATTCATTATGTGGTGCTAACCCAAGCCTCTGGATGTCATATTCTTTTTATTGTGTTGTGTTTAGCTATGGCTTTTGTTTTCTGCAACTTCATGCTTCTCTTTCTTCCTCATCTTTGCTTGCCTCACACTCAAAGACTTGGACAACTGCCTGGCCCCGGGCGGCACTCCCAGGAGTGACTGAAGGGTGTAGCCTTTAATGCTGGCAGACCACACTGCCCCGCCCTCCTTTTTGTCCCTCACACACCCCTCCACCCCCACCGCAGCGCTCTTGAGCATGTGTCTTTAGGAGATTCTTCCAGGAAAGAGCTTGCTTACTCCTGAAATGCTCTCCGTGGGGATGTGCTCCACCCTGGCCTTGTTGGAAGCGCTGTTGGTGCTCTCCTACCCAAACCCAGCTCTTCCTGCTTATCATAAGTGAAGTAGAAGTGAGAGTTTTCACACTACTTACAGTAACATCAAATTTATTTAATACTTCTGTAAAAACTTTTTTGTGCTTAGAAGGTAATGTATAATTTGTTTCTATATTCACATTTATTATTTAATGAATATATATTCGTTATAAAAAGAAAAATGTGAAATAATCCTTGTCCAAAGATAACCCATGAGCCAGGCCTTGGTGGCACATGCCTTAATCCTGCTACCAGAAGGCTGAGGAAGGAGGATTAAAAGTTTGCATACTGAGGCTACATAGCTATCTCGAAGCCATCTCTGGGTGGCATAGAGACTTCGAGGTCAGGTTAGTGTACATACTGAGACCCTGTCTCAAAAAAACAAACAGTGGGGCATGGTGTACATGCCTATAATCCCAGTACTGGTGGGTGAAGCAGGTGTATTGTCATGAGTTTGAGGCCAGCCTGGGCTACCTAGTAGACCCTGTCTCAACAAACCAAGCCAAACCAAACCAACAAATAAAATACACAAAGATAACTGGTGAACTTCTAGGTTCCTTTTCTGTGCTCATATTTATAAATATATATATAAACATGGGATCCTGCTGACTTATAATTTCCTTTTCATTTAAAAATATCTTTTTATATCAACAAAATATCATCTTTTCATGTCATGTATATCCTCATGATATACATCTGAGAAAAGTATTGGTCCAGTCCAAGACAAAATCCTGCTCTAAGTCTCAAGGCTCCTGTGGGCGTGGTAGGGCATTTGAAGATAGAGGCTGGGACGACTCATCCATCCATCGTGTGGCATGGAACAGTAGGTAGGGCCAAGAATGCTGCTGGCACACCAGTTTTTAGGGCTGCTTTTTGAGATGGGTGGGGGAAGTGTTACTATGTTGCCCAGTCAGGTCTTAGACTGGACTTCAGTGATGCTCCTGCTTCAGGCTTCCAGAGAGCCAGGACTGCGGAAGTGTATCACCATATCCACCAAAACAAAAGCTTTTTTCATTCTCAATGAAAACTTTTTATGCTGCTACTATGTCTGATCCCAGCTTCCTTCCTTCAGTGAATCATCTCATAAGCTATGATTTAAACACTGGGATAAAGCAAATGTGCTGTAGATTTGTTTTTTCAGCTCTTTTTGCTGCTTGATGAAGTGGCGCTCAGTGTGTTCAGAAGAGTAATAGGGTGAGAGACTTAATTCCCAATATAGCTACTAATCCTGTCTAATTCCCTGAAGTCTTTCAGTCCTGGGTTGTTTGTCCTTTCTTTCTTAATTGAAAGCGTGGGGAGGCACAGACTGCAGGAGTGGAGAGTAAGAAGCTACTGCGGATCGGATCCAAGTTTGTTGGAAAGGTACTGTTCAGTTTAGTGAGGGAGGCTTGCAAAGCATGAGATACTGCATTGTACTTCAATAAGCTTGTTTCCTCTATTTATTATTCTATAGCGGCAGTGGCAATTTCCAGGTTGTTTCTACCTTATGTGTATAAATTTCATTTTGACCCAGGTGAAAGTGAACTCTCAGATATGTAAGTGTGTATACTTTACACAGGAGGCTGGGTGGTGCTGTGTTTTTTACGTGTTTTTCAATCAAAGGATCTGTAAAATAGTAACTAAGAATTGAGACATAAACATTTAGAGATGAGAAAGGGAAAAGGATTAAACTCTTCTGTAAAAATAAACTGTGAGAATTAGGGTTGGCGCTCAGTGGTAGAGCAGTTTTGTAGCTGGCTAGTTCAATCCTCAGCGCCAAAAAAATTTTTTTAAGTTTATATACATGGAAATTATGTTAAATATAACTAAAAACCATTTATGTAAAACTTACAAAAGCCTTGTGACTTCTTTAAATTTCTACAAATAGATACAACTACCCTTCCTGGATACAACCTTCTTTAATTATTTTTATTGTATAGTTTCAGCTATATTCCACCTTTGTCTTGTTTTTAAAAGAAAAAAAAAACCAATTCATCACAATTTGTGGTATAATTTAATAAACTGTTATTAATATATAGCTACAATATTTAAAGTATCTGGTGTTTCCATTTTTCTCTCTTTTCTCATGAATCTAGACAAAAATGTCTCATCTCCAGTATAACTAGCATGAGATCTGGGCTGTTCTTTCTTCTCTTTTGTCCTTATAAGGCTATCCTGTTTTATCACTTCCTGCTTCAGCTCCTGACTTTTTTCTCTTTTCCCCTCTCCCTGTCCCGGGGTGGATGCTTGCTCCATGTGGCAGGGCTATAACTGTTCACAGCTGTCTGAAGCAACTTTCATTTTACAAAGAACATGTTTGACTGTTTCAGCAGGCAAGTTATAGCAGGCAAGTTATAACTGATTTCTTGTTCTTCTAGAACACTGAAAATCTCCCGCAGCACTTTAGAAGGGGAGCCCTGACTGTATTAAAGAAGAAGTGGGAGAACCCAGTGCCGGGAGCAGAGCTGCACACAGACCCAGTGCGAAACAGCAGCTCTGAGGTTAGGCACCGAGTCGACCACCCTCCTGCTGAAGTGACAAACAACTCCACTTCTCCAGCCGGAGCTGAGCACAACAGAAGACAGACCCAGCCCAGACCTAGATTTGGATCACGCCCTGAGCCCCATATTCAGCGTCGATATCACCCTGAGGACACTGAAGATCTGAAAGACCACACAATCGAAAGTGACAACATGGAAAATTGTCTGGGAGATTCCAGACATGAAGTTGAGAAATCTGAAACCAGCGAAAACTCAGAAGCTTCAAGCAAAATAGAGAAATACAATGTCCCGCTGAACAGGCTTAAGATGATGTTTGAGAAAGGTGAACTAACTCAAGCCAAGGTAAGAATTGGGCAGGTTTAAAATCTGAGAAGGTCATTTGATACACTAAACAAAGCTGTTTTTCTAATCTGGACAATTGGAGTAGAGTTGAATATGTGGTTTGTATGTATGTCTTTTGATTCAAGTTAGATGAATTAATAGGAAGTCTCATTATTTACATAGATATGGCACTAAGATTTGTTAAGTGTCTGACCCAATTTCAAGTTAAATCAAGCTCCCACTGGGATTCAAACTGGTATCTAGAAATGAAGAGAGCTGGACCCTGCTTGGATTGTGTGTTTTTGTACACTTGCCCTTTTAGCTTGTCTTCCTGTGCCTTTTGTCATTAGGAGCCTTGGGGGTGGAATTACTGCTGAATCCTCTCTGCCTGGACACAGCTGCAGAAGGAGTGTTAAGGCCAGAGTTTAACATTAAGACTGAGGCTTAGTTGTCTATTTGCTAGCTGAATCCCTTCTCTTCTTCTCAACTTCCTCATCTGTGCCTTCCAACAAATGTTTTCTATCAGCTAAAATCCTCTCCCAGAAAAAAAAAATCAATGGAGATAGCTAGACTAGCTGTTGCTTTCAGGAGTTTTGACTTGCAAATGCACAGGATTGCATTTTCCTACAACTGCTAATGAAATTTGATCCTTCATGTGGATTTCAGACTGAGTCCCCAGAGGGAATTACTTAACTAGAAAATGAGTTACATATGCTGGGGACTTACAGCACAGCACAATCCAGGGGCCGCAAAGCTGGTCAGTTTTTCCAGTTTTCTCATACTTTCCTACATATCTGGCTTTGTACACAGGGTTGGTTTGGTACAGCAGTCATAATGAAATAAACAGATCTGATGGGCAGCAAAGTCATTTACTGTAGATTCCATCTGGATGGGAAAACTGGGTTTTTGTTTTTGTTTTTTTAAAGCTGAGTATTTGGCCCAAATTCCTATTGGGAATCAATAGCATGAAGCATTGCTTCTGATATAAAAGATAGGTAACTCATGATGTAGCTGATAGCCCTCAGCTGCAGTGTGTTCAGTGTGTTCTTTCCTGTAACTTGCTGTGCATGCTGTTTCCTGCCTAGGGAAACACTCACCCTGAGTGTTTGGGGATCATCTGTTTGAAGGCCTAGGGAGAATTTTCAAAGGTTTGTAAAGTTAGAACTCTTTTTTGTGCATGAGCTTTAGCTCTGCTTTAACAGTAAAGCCAGTTGGCAAGAGATGCAACCACAAAGCAGTTTTATGATTTTCTTAAACTCTCTTCCCACCTAGTTTTTGGTCCCTCAGGCCTGCCACTTCCTCATTTCTCCTTTACAGCCATAAAAAGATTTTTTTAAAGTTTAAATAGAATTTTAAATGGAAGGAAAGTAAGCCAGAAAGTCTAAATTGAGAGGAAGGGGCTTTGCTGTAACTCAGAGCACCGTAGCAAGTCTCTCCCTCACAGACTTTGCTGGAGGGAGCACAGCGATGTCCTGGCAACACACACAGTGTGCCGTGAGTGCAGAAAGACTCCTGCATGTCAAAACGGGCCCACAGTAGGAAATGACTGGAATGGCAGCAAACAAATGCTGATTATGTGTAAGGATCTGGTGAAAGACTTTCTTCTTATAAATGTCTAGAGATGGGTCAAGGCAAGCCCATTTCCTATGTGTCTGGGCAGAGTGAAAAAGTATTCCCCATATAAAGATCTTACTAAATCACTAATGGCACTGGGCAACAGGCTAACCAAGGCAGATGAAAGAGTTCTGAGATTGACCTGAGATTTTTGTAGGTTTGCATATTAGTGTGTGCACCTATTAAATTAAATTTCCTGATTAATTTGCCCCTTGTTACTTAATTGACAGTATAAGGAATGCAAAGTATAACTACCCTTAGTTTTATGGCTGTTTCTAAATAAGCATAATTTGCCATGTTGGAAATAGCCTGTATTACTTTGCGGGGGACAGTACCAGGCATTGAACTTGCAACTTTGTGCTTGCCAGAAAGGTGCTTATGCCACTGAGGTAAATCCCCAGCCCAGCCTGGATTACTTTTTAAAGTTTTGTCCAAAATTTCTATCAGTGTTAAGAAAAATTTTGTCTACTTTAGGTTAGGAAATTACTAATCAAGCTTGAAGCCAGGTTAAAGTTTATTGTCAATAGTATTTCGGTTTTAACATGGATAAAGGTTTAATCAGGAAGTTATTTAGCTCTTCAGAAGGATGTTCAGAGAAATATGGTAGGAACAATAAAAATCCTCTGAGGAGCAAGATTTTCAAGTAAGAGTGTATATTTCAGAGCTAAGAAACTAGTATTTTGGTATGACGAATGTTTTAGCTTGAAATTGTGTGAATCTTTGGTTCCATAATAGAATTTTGTTTTGTTTTATTTTTTGAGACAAGGGTGTTTTGCTATGCAGTTCAAGCTGTGTAGCCCAGGCTGGCCTTGAAGTTGCTACAATCCTTCTGCCTCAGCCTCCTCGGATTACAAGCATGTGCTACCACACCCAGCTTCATTATTTTATTTTATTTATTTTTGGTACAGGGGATTGAACTCACATGCTTGCCAGGTGGGCACTTAGGCCACTGAGCTGAATCCCCCATCCCCAGTAATTGAATTTTAAAGAACCATCCTGCATCTCAACTAACAAACTGAACAGGGTCAGGAAGTACATGGACAAGGAAAAAACATGTTCTCATATCTTGTCCCTAATGTTTTTTAATCATAATTCTTTATAAAAAGTCAAGTTAGCTGGCTTCAGTTCTACTTTTCTAGTCTCTTTTGCGTGAGATTGATGTAAGGGAAATGCTAAATGTCAGATACACCAAGTTTGTGTTCCTGAAAGTTGAAGAATGAATTTTGAGAAACAACAGAGGTTATAAGTAGGGAAATTTATTGTAGAAAAGGAACAGGGAATAAATATGGGGACTAGAAATAACTCCTGAGGGCCAGGAGGGGTCCAGATGGGTTGCCAATGAGCCTGCCTTTCAAAGGAAGCAATATAGAGCAAAACCATGAGGCAGGTACAATGTGGTTCAAAATTATGACCAAATGCCTGGGATTTAGCTCAGTACCGCAAGCACCTGCCTGGCAAGTGCAAGGTCGTGAATTTGATCCCTGTACAAAAAAAAAAAATTTATGATCAAACAAGAAAGATTGCATGTGTAGACACTTAGGTAATACTGATCTAATGATAGCAAGGGTACATGGGTGATATCAGTAACCTTGATCAAAAATCTATCTTAGTCATGTCTTTGGTTTTAGTAGTCTTAGTGGTTTTGGTCTTAGTAGGTGGGAGAAGGTGGCCCACTCCTAAAGAGGTAAGAGAAATCTCAAAAGGGTGGATACTAGTAATCCCAAGCCTCCACCCATCCCTTAGGGAAGTATGTAAAACTAGCCGTCATGGCTTGAGCCTTAAATGCACCTCTAGCCACAGTCCTGATGCATTCTCATCTCTTGTACTGAGTCCCTCGAGGGCCCAGCCCTGAATGACCACCTACTGTATTTCTCCCTAATTTAGTCTTCTGTAGGAAGATGACTTCTGTTTCTGTCCTCTTGTCTTTCGAGTCACTTCGCCTTCCTGTCTCCTCTTCCTTGTATGGTCTTATACTATTTCATGATTCTTTGAGGTGAATCTCAAATCTAGATTCTAATCCGGAGTGCTTAACTCAAGCTTTAGCCCCTTCCAAATTGTTAGCTAGATAGACATCTCTTTGTTAATATTTGTTAGACTTTCAGAGTCAAGAAGGCTAAAAAACAGTGCGCCATCTTCCCAGAAGACCTGCTGTGCCGCTGGTGTCCTAGAAAGCATCGCATTCACCCAGTTTCCTAAGGTATAAAATCACCAGACCAGTTGCTCCCCTCCTGCCTCCAACGCCCGAGTGCTGGGATTGCAGCCATGCTCCACCACGCCCAATTCATTTTTCTGAAAGTAGTTTGAATTATATTACTGCCTTGATCAGAAACATTCAGTGCCTCAAAATTAATCCATATGTGATGTTCAGGTCTTCTGCATGAACTCAATTTACCTTTCTTGTCACATAGACAATCTTACTATACTCAAACTGTGGATTCCTCCTCCTTCTTAAAACTTCATGACCTTCAAGGTCTCGAGAGGAAGCCAGCCAGGTGTGATAGTAGACGCCTGTAATCCCACTTCTCCGGGAGGCTGAGGCAAGAAGATCCTAATTTTGAGTCCCACTTGGACAATTTAGTGACCAGTTGACCCGATACCTAAATAAAATTTTTTTTTTAATTTAAAACGGGGACTGAGAATGTAGCTTAGTGTAATGACACTGGGTTCATTCCCCAAGACCTGGAGGGAAAACAAAAGACTTGAGGCAAGACCTTCAGTTTCTCCCATAGACCATAGACTTTTCCTTTTTTGTGGGGCTCTTAAATCTTGAATTTGTATATATCACAATCTTTTTTTTTTTCCAAGGGGCATTATTGGGGTTGAACTCAAGAACTCACACATTTAATCTGTTCCCTTTTTGTAGGAATTAGAACCACCCCACTCAACCTGAATAACCTGTTAACTGAAGAAGACAATAAGTGACAACCTTTAACCAGTGTTATGTTATTTGAGTTCTGAGTTTCTATTCTTTTTATTAAAGGGCCAATGTTCTGTAATCATCACTAGGAAAAATAAATGACATGGGAACATGTGCTGAATATTAGGAATTAGCATTCCTAACCAAGCATAGGGGCACACAGCTATAATCCCAGCACTCAGGAGGCAGAGGCAGGGAGGGTGGCTGAGTTTGAGGCCAGCCTGGGCTACGTAGTGAGTTTAAGGCCAGCCTGAACCGCAGAGCAAAACCCTGCCTTAAAAAAAAAGAAAAAAAACTCAGACAAGGAGTTAGCATACCTAATTTCCTACATAGTTGCTTTGGGTTTTAGGTAACTATTGTAGCCATCCTTTTATGAAAATGTTGCAGCTCTAGTTATAATTAGTGTTCACTTCTTGTCACAGTGGTATTTCAGTCCATAATCTTCATGATCCAGGATATGTTTAATGAAAAATTAAATACCTCTTCTTCT